TATGCCTTAGTGTCTTGAAATTCTGTTGTACAAAAGAATTCAGTGGGAAGATGTCACTTGAATATAAATATCAGTAAAATTTTAATGTAAACTTGTACAGAGGTCGTGTTGTTAGGGGAGAAATGCAACAGAACACATAGTGTTCTTTTCTGAATTTAAATATCCTAGTGTTATTTAGCAATATAAACTATTTTAGCCAGACCTAGTGGTGCATGCCTATAATCCCAAAACTTGGGAGGTGGAAGCGGCAAGATTTCCATGAGACTGAGGCAGTCTGGGCCACACAGTGAGATCAAGGGCAATCTGAGCTGTAGTATGACTCTTTATATAATACACTGTGTATAACAAGACCTTTCCTGGAAAAATCAATAAAATAAAACAAACTTTTCATGAAGGAGCATAGCAAGTGGACATAATGTAGAATTATAATAGGTCCGGTGTCTTACTATATTCTTTTTCTGTCACAGACCAGTTGAATTCTCTGAAACTGAATATCCACGAGTCACTTATGAAAGGAGACAGCAATTTTGGGACCCTATCAGGCTTGCTCTTTTTACCTTGGCAATTGTAGCAATCATAGGAATTGCAATTGGCATTGTTACCCATTTTGTTGTTGAAGGTAAGTACCCACATCCAACTTCTGTTGTCTAACTACATCATACCTTAATATCTTGAAATTCTGTTGTACCAAAGTGATAGTTGCATGATAGCAACATTTTAATTTCCAGTATTTTATTGATGTTGAATTATAGGTTGTTCCTATAGTGAACTGTTACATACTTCCACCCAGGAAAGCTTGAAACATAAATGATATTGGTTGGCAGATGCATCTGAGAAAATGCTAAAGTATTAAAAAGGAAGGAATAAAAAATTATCTTTAAGATAAAGATGGATCACATCCTGTGATGAGCTAAATACATTTTTGTCTGAATGAATGTGTTAATGAGTTTCCTCAAGAAACACTAGGATATTTAAAAATAATTTACCTAAAATATCCCTTTAATGAACTAAAAGTGAAACATTACTCTTGAAAGAAAATCCAATTGTTTCATGAGTGGTGAACATGGACACACTGGAAATTGATTCCTAATTATATGGAAACAGGTATTTAGTAAAACAAAGAAGCCCAGTGACGGTAAACTAAGATTCATTCACTGTTGCCTAAACTTGTGCATTTGTATTCACAGATGGTTGAATCTTTATCTAAAATTGTAGGACTTCACATAATGGCACAGCCATTCTTGGAATATCTCTGAGGAAGAAATGAAATATTGTCCAAAATGCCCAAATTACCTTCCTAACAAATCTTGCTGGGGGGGATATTGAATATTAGAGTATCATAAAGTAAAAAACATAAACTTGTCCTCTGAAATTTTGTCTTTATATTTTGTTTTAGCTAAAAAGTAATGAAGTAGTTTTGTGTTTAAAATGTCCTTCACCACCAATGCTTCAGGTGTTCAAAAAGAAGTGAAGGATTAATAGACATAATGCCAAACAGTATTATTAAAAAATAAATTTAAAAAAATGAAAAACAAAATTAAAAAACCCTCTCAAGGTCTGGCCAAATAGTTCAATGGATTAAAGTGCCTCCAAGCAGGCCCAGGGTCTAGAGATTCGATTCCCCAGCCTGCTGTGCCGGCCCTGCTCCCAGGGCACACTGAGACTGCATTTGAGACTGGGCATGGTGGCGAATGCCTGTAATCCCAGCTCTTGGGAGGTTGTAAACAGGAGAATCACTACAAGTCTGATCTAATAGCAGAAGGATTTTTTTTTTTGGGGGTGGGGGGTGCTGGCTCAGAATGTCTTCAGGGCATATTTGGCTGGCTGGAGTTGTGGGGATCGAACCACAGCAACCTGAGGCTGATTGCTTTGTGGAGGCAGCCACTTAAACAACTGAGCTAAGGGGCAGGCCCCTACAAGTGTGATCTAGTAGTGAGACCCTGAACACCCTGTAGACCCTTCCCTAAAAATACAAACAAAAAACAACAAAAAAACCCTTTCAGATTATGATAAGCTGAATGAGGCCCCATCCTCATGCAAGATGTCCATGCCCTAATTTTTAGAATCTATGAGCATTATTTCATACAGTATAAGGGTAATTCTAAACACAATGAAGAATTTGGAGATTGAAATATTCTTTTGGATTTTCTGGATTGGCCATCAATATGACAAGACTCCTTATAGGAGAAGAAACATGGGCAAAGAAGAAAGAAGGCAATGTGACCACTGAAAGAATAAGTAGGAAAATACGGTATAGAGACATGGCCTGAGGGATGACAGTAAAAGAGAAAACAAATGTTCCCCCCTAAGCCTTCTAGAAAAAAACAGCTCTGCCACTTGTTGAGATTAACCCAATGAAACTGACATCAGACTCTGACATCCAGAATGGGACAAGAATAAGTCTGTGTAGGGTTAAGCCTTTTAGCAGCAATAAGAAACTAATCCAGAGATGAACACTCAATGGGTCCAGAGAGATATCAGTAGGATATCCATGAGGATACTGAAGAGTAGACTGAGTAGAAGTGGGTATTTAGTAAAAGAAGGAGGAAAGTATGAACAGTGACAAAGGGTGCACAACAAGAAGGGGATAAAATAGAGGTACCTAAGATGATATAGTTTTAGAAAAAACACACACATATTCATGGTATAAAGGAGTGCATGGAAGAAAGAAATTGCATTGTAATAATCAAGATAAGAGGAAAATCCCTTTTAAGAATGAAAATAGATCTAAGGGAAGATGAGTAGAAATCATTAAAGATGTGAAATAAATACAAGATATTTTTAATATCTTTTATTCTCTTGAAAACATAAAAAAATCAGACCCACAAACACACATGCAAAGAATTTCAGCAGACATAAATCATTAAATTACAGCACCAAGATGAAGTATATTTAGTAGAATAGTCATAATCCTGAAGGTCTGCATAATTACAAGTAAGCATCTTTCACTGTATCAAAATTATGTCCAAAAAAAATTCTGACCAATTATAAAGTACTCATTAAAAGGTACTATATATAAATAAGCAATCATAGGCTGGGAAGATAGCTCAGTGGCATAAGTACCTGCCTTGTAAGCACAAGGTCCTGAGTTCGATCCTTGGTAAAGGAAAAAAATACCTAAAATAAGCAATCATAAAATAATTTGGTAACTTAGAACATGTTTCATTTATCACTATTTCTCAGCCAAAGACCATGAGGACTGCATCTGTGTATGCGATTAGCTGGAATAATGTTGGGATTGACTAGCTTAATATTTTTTCATTAGACCTGAGTACAAAAAAATCAAAGCTGCGAATAAGTGTCGGAGAAGCAGGTGTCACTAATGCTGGCTAAAATATCATTCCTTTTGTTTTACTTTAATGTGTTGTTTTGAATAACACTCATGTCTTTGAATTCAAACATCTTATCAAATGGTCTGACTTTTGTCTTGACCTAATATGGCCACAGAGTGGCAATGTCACTGATGTCCTCAAGAATATCAAGATCCAGCCATGAGTACCAGATCAACTTCCACATATTGAGTACTACTCTATTTCTCAGGTTTTATATTTGTGATGTTATCCATTTTTACGCTAATTTAGCATTGTTTTAAGATATAATTTCTGTATTATTAACTATTAAGTACTTGTCTTTGTCCATTTCTGTTGTAATAAAATACCTGAATTAGGTGCTTGTGAAGCTCACAGTTTAGGAGGCTGAAAGTGTGATGCTATATTGGCTTGGCCTCTGGCCATGGTCTCCTTTGCTGAGTGTGGATGGCATCACAACAGGAATATACACAGAGGAGACCACATGGTGTCACAGGAAACCAGAGAGCTAGAAGGAACCAGTCCTGATGTTTCCTTCTGAGGCAGTACCCCAGTGACATGGTCACCTGCTGCTCAGTGCTACAGTGCAGAACAAGCTTCCACCCCACTGGCCCTGGGGAACAAATAGCACCAGACCATAGCAGTGCTTGGTAGAATTTGTATCTCTTAGATATTTAGAATATCTTAGAATTTGTTTCTCTCATCATCCTCAACATGATGAAAAGAATAATAGACTTCTGTGTTACTTATCCTCAGGATTTTCATTTGGCTCTTCACTTTTCATTTTATCAAAGAGAAAAAAAACTATTTTTAAAAAGAAATCCTATTTGAACTTTAACTAAATATAGCAATATTTCACTTTTTTTGAGGTCTGCTCTTGCTCAAAATTGTTGTAGGAATCATCCACTCTGTTGTATGCATCATTAGAACATTTATTGCTATTATTAGCTAGCAGTCCATTGTCTTAGACATTCTTTAGTGTTATAGCATATAGCTAGATATACTCCCAAAGCCTGATGCACTTAAAGGTGGGGATTTTTGGAGGTAGCTTGGTCTAGAATGAGTAAATATGGATTGAAAATGTTTGTAACTAAATTACCCATTGATTAGTTTAGTGTAGTTTTCAGCATGGTTAATGAGAAGGCCCACCCTGGGCGTAGGTGGCACCTTCCAAAAGGCCTGTAACCCAGATGAGATGAAAGTCTGGGAGGCTCATAGTTTGCTGCCTCCTTCCTGCCCTGCTATGGACTGCTTCTCCTCTGCAATGCCCCTGTGCAGGCCACCATGGAGCCAGTTGACTACAGACTGAAATCTCTACAAACTGTAAGCTAAAGTAAGACTTTCACCTTATAATTTGTGGGTGTGGTGTGTTTTTTCACAGAAATAGAAAAGTAACTAAGACATAGTTTGCTAATTTACTCAAGTGTTCATGGAAATTTGTGCTATTTCAGGTTTTAGAAATTAAAGCTATACTACTAGGTCTCTTCTTATACATATATATTCATATAAATATGAGTGAATTGCCCTAGGAAACATGCAGTTACAGAATTAATTGCCAAATTATTGGACATATGCTTCAAAAATCCTGCATGGATAATACCACATAGTCTTCTTTCTTGCTATATGGCTGTTATAAATAGTCTCTCAGTTAAAAAAAAATGACAACAATCATGAGAGAATTGTTCAGCACATCTCATGAAGGAATAGATAAAAAATAGAGAATGATAGAAAATTGATGGAAACCTTGAAAGGACAATACAGGAAACATAATTCATGAAACAGATTCAAACAGATATTTTGGACATTGAAAATTTCATTAAAAGTTAGCAAACTTCTTGAAGGAACCTGAAGACAGACTTTCAGACCTTGAAGACAGCAATGAAGCTAATGAACACAAAATGAAAGATCTCTTACAACTAACTAGGTGCCAGGAAATAACAATTTAGAAGCTACAATATGAGGCTTAGAAAATACAACTTCCTATAGGTTATAGTGTTAATTGTGATTTTAAATTGTATATGTCCAAACAGTAATCGTATTGAGGTCTTATATTTGTGTATCAATTAGTCATTTGAACTTCTTGTTACTGTAAAATGCCTGAGATTTTTCTCATTTCTACTAAGTCATTTTCTTTGTTGAAGGACTTTGAGTTCTTTCTGACTATATACCCACCATCAATGACATATTAAAGTAGCTTCTGTTAAAAAGTTCATAGTATATATACATATGTGTGCATTTAATTATAATATCTTCGTTACTACATGAGGATCTTTTAGGGTTAAAGAGCAAAATTACAATCATCACAATGATT